TGACCATATCTTAGAAAAATACAGCCAATAAAGCTAGAAAACGACTCTTTTTGCATTAGAGTCAATGGAGCGCATCCATGAAAAAGTCGGAGATCAGTTAGAGCAGGTCCTATACTGCACTGTGATTGGCCAGCTGTGGCATGGCTCAGAGAAGGGTCAATTGCATCTCAGTAACTCAGCAGGGTGAAGGGTTCTCTGCAGCTCAGCAGGTACAGGAAGGAACAGGAGGTTGCAGCAGGAGTCGGAAGGGCAGGCAGCTCTGTCTCTTGAACGCCAGGCATCAGGATGTCAGCAGCACCGGACAGCGATGAAGATGAGTAGCAGGACAGCAATGAGGACCAAGAGCTGGGCAGCAAAGGCTCTGGGGCGAAGAGAAGTTGAGACTGCCAATGGGGTCAGGTATGACAACTACATCCCACTTTTGGCCTCCACAGAACCAGGTGACAATGTACATGTACTGCTACAGCAACCTGCACTGAACACATAATAACACATAACACAACCAACCTGATTGGACTGAATCCAGTTATACCGTTAATAGAAACTTGCATTTATACTGCATATCAGCAAGAATGTATGTATACAGTATAAATGCAGTGATGTACTATTGTTTAGTACACATTCCTTAAAGCAAGGTGGGCTGACTGTACGATGTCTTGACAACCTGCACCATCACCTTTATTTTATCAGTGACACAGGGTGACACAGGATCCAACTTAGGCTACAAATGCATGGCAGTGACTTTCTCATTCGAGAAATATATCAGGAAAAATCCAGACTTTTTCTTATCAGGTCATGGTACCCCAACCTTCATCTAAAAGACAAAAATTGCTAACAGATGTTTAATAGCGAACACACAGCACATTTCACGCAATCAAAGGGGTCTTGAGACTGTGCTGCTTTTACAACAGAAACATCAAAGAACTGCTCAGGAGCTGATGTGGCAGAACTCAAGGGGAAGGTTTGGAATACATTACATCAGTATTCAGAGATGCTACTAGTGAAGGCTGCTTTCTGCTAATAGGGAGTTTCTATACTGTACACGTTCCACTGTGAAAACAACTGACCTTGTTTGACACCACTGATTACATTCAAGCAGTTTAAATTCTATTTTCACAAGAGAGGTATGGCATTTGATTTATGTTTGTTCATTCAAATTAAAATAGTCACAGGAATACAGTTTATACAGTGTTTGGACTGTATATTTAAGTTTTAATTTAGGTTCCCATCCTGATCATTGTTCATATAAAACATTTCCTGATGACAGTGCCTAACATTATCTACTTTTCAGCCAGGACATTTCATTTTTCAGTTAAAGAACTGTAATATCAAACAATGTACAAATAAAAAACAACCTCTTTCAAAATACATTTTAAGAAATAATTCAAATATGATGCTGACCTATCTAGATCTTCAAATATAAAGCCATAATGCTATACAGCAAGCTAAACACACTTCCAGTAACGGTTAAAGACAACATTTCCTTTGAAGTTTTCACTGAAATCACTTGTGAAAGTCAATGGACTGTCTAAGATGTATTGGCTACATATGTTGCAGCATAGGAACTCACCAACAGGGTGTCTCACTGAGCCCCATGAAGTTATTTTGTTTTAATTTTATTATTTGTTTTATTTTGTCTTTATTTGTATAATTGTCATAAAACAAACAAAATTATAGATTTCAACAGCCATCATTATTTATCAAATATCCTGTAAGATTTTATATCTTACAGGATTTTTATTTATACATTTTTTCTGTTTTTGGTCTTGCATTTGACGCCATCAAGACAAACAAAAACTGGCAAATATATAAGGAGATGGTCAAATTTACAACTAATTTCAAGAGGAAAAATAAGGATATTCCTTCTTTCTCCATTCACACACTTCATCCTGTCTGCTGTGGCCTCTTTGCTCTGCGTGTATCAAGTATTCAAGCAGAGATCATAATGCAGATGCAAAATGCCAAATTCCTCTCCATAGTGGTTGATTATACCCTTCATTTAGCTCACATTGATCAGCCTATTTTTTGCTATTTGTTATGTATCACGTGATTGTTTTGCCGGCAGAGTTCCTGATTTAATCTGTCACAGATGTCCTTAATGATTTGAATTTGGGGATTATAATTTTAGGGGACAGTGTTACAATAATGCCAGCAACATGAGTGAAGTCTATAAAGGACTAAGGACTTGCATTCAAGTAAACCTTCTTGCTGCCATATGGTGCTCACTCACTAAATCTTGTGTGTAGCAGTGATTAGTGCTCCGAGGCAAATAACTACTTTAGTTTGGTCCAGCCAGTATTAAACTTTTGCTACCGTTCTCCTAAACACTAGAAACTTATTACAGATAGGCTTGAAGAGAATGCACAGATTTAAACTGCATTTAAGACAACATGCACTTCACTTCAGTGCTGACTTTTACAGAATGTGGAATTCTACATCTAGGATGTTGAAGAGTCTGTTGGGCTCAGTTGCTTGACTGTGCAAGTATGACACCTCTAAAGGGCTAAAATTTCAAGATGTACTGTAACTAATGTGGACCTTAGATAATACAGAATGGGAAACCATGGATCTAATTAACTCCTTAAAATAACATAAAAATGGACTGCTGTACATGCTATAATCTATTAGAAAAAAATTGACTTAAACATTGAACATAAAAGTAAATGCTCTAAGCTGGTTTATGTCCCATGTATTCGATCGAACTCAATTTGTACATGTTGACAATAAATCCTCCGCCAAAGTTCTGTGTTTGGACCAATCCTATTCACATGCTTCCATTAGGCAAAATTATCAGGGAAACACTCCATAAATCTATTAGCTGAACTTCAAGCATGCCTTAAGGATGTAAAAACTTGTATAACCTGTAATTTTCTGATGTTAAACTCTGATGAAAAACTGAAGTGGCCAGTGTCGCCAAGTGCTTGGTCATAGTGGGAATTGTTGGGTCTCTTAATAATATTACAAAGACTACGGTTTAAACCTGCTCCATATGAAAATTGCAATGAGAAAACTTTTGGTATGAATTGGTGCAATATACATAAAACTGAACTGACTTAAATAAAGTAAGCAGTCAAAGAATCCTACACTTCAAAAAAATACTTTAGTTTAGTGGATTGATATAAAGAAACTTGGTAAAAAAGTGTTGTGAAAATGATTAATTTATTAGCCTTTCACATGAATACAATAAAAATCACCTTGATGATAATTATGAAAATAAATTAACAGTGGGATACACCTGCGGGTGGTGAAGTTTTTCTCTTCCCAAAACACACACACTAGACCTAAAATGCTAATCAAATATTATAAAACCATTAACTCATTCACTGAATGCCATTACTTTTACCAGTCTGAGAAATTGGTTTAAAAAAAAGGAGAATTATTTTTTAAAGCGATAGTCTAGTCTCGGGGGTTAAGGATTGGGGGATGGGGAGATGGGGGGGTGCAGTTGGATTTGAAGCTATCATGTTGGCTTCTTTTTTGTTAAAAAAAGGGGGCCACTTTTTCCAATGTAGCTGATGTCCATGCAGGTGAGTGTCAGTGTCTTTAGCAGTTAAGTGAGAATTAGTATTTACACAGATGGTCCATTTAGTTTGGAACAGGAGGAGTAGGGTAGCAGTGCTGTTACTGTGAAATGGTAAATGGCAAATTAATGGTGCACAGTGGATTTGATTGTTTAAAAAACAATAAAACTGTAGTAAATGTGAAATGGTCCTGCACAGCTCAGGTGTACTGAGCATGTGATCTGCATTGAAATGCAGCACCTTGTTGGGATTTCAATGAAACTCACTGAAATTAATTTAAAGTATACTGCATTCCATATCCCTAAAGCAACCCTAAATTTATAATCCCCAATCCTGATACAAATTTTCAACCATAACCAATAGTATAGCCCTTACGCACGTCCAAATAGGTGGCATAGCGTGAGCAGTTTGTTAGGTTAGAACACAACCTTGATCATAACCTGAATGCTAAACATAAACTCTAGCCCAGAAATAACCCAGAATTAACTAGGCTATGGTGAGGATTCTTCACCTCTCTCTGAGTTGACACATATCCAATTCCTCCACGTCAATGTATGCCACTGTCAGCCAGTTGCCTTTTCCGATGAACAGATTACTCATATAGCACAAGCACAGCAAAGCATAGGCCTAATTATCCTCAACTGCAACAAGCTACAGTTGTCTTTGCCTGTACACAGTGCAATCAGGGAGGCAGCAATGTGGAACGGATCTGAGGTTCCTCACTCACAGACTCCCAGGTGAGTTTGTATCTGTCTGAGACAGATATAAATGAAGAAGAGAGGGGTAGGCAGAAAATGGAATTGAGCAGAGGGGGTGGGGACTTGCATATAGCATAATAGAAAATATGATTGAAATGTTTGCTGCCTATCTTTTGAAAATGGCTTTAAAATCATTCCCACCTCTTCAGGGAACAGGTCAGTAATTTAGGAAACTCTTTTTGTTGATATACCCAAACTTTTGATGAGCAGATCCATGTACATTTCATCTATGTTGGTCCAGTACAGAGATAGGTCTAGCATGCCTAGCTTAGCTCAATTTAAAGTGGAAGCAAGGAGAATGCTGGTGTTTGGCAAGCTTAACCAAAATTTAAAGAATATGCTTTCCAAAACTTCAAAACATGTTTATTTTGGTCACCCATATATCCTCATACACTGTAAAAATTCGTTCAGTGCTATTGTCCTTATAACTTAATTTTAAAAACTATATTTATTCCAATAAATTAACTTATTTTCTTTCTTTGTTTTTTGAGTTTTCAAAAAGTAAAAAAGTGTGAATATTTTCGTAACTTAATATTTTCTATAATAAAATTAATTTAATTGGACTTCACCATAAATTGATTTTACAAAACTCATTTTAAGAGTTTATATCAGACGTATCCTTCTGGACGTATCAGACGTAAAAAGACACGACCCGCCCACTACCTGCAGCAACAGAAGAACAAGCCCGGGCAAATCCTTCATCTCGTCTGTTCCAGAAGTATATTCGAACGGGGTTTTCTACGGAGCCGGATAATACTTCACGTACCTCATGTAAGTAACTCTTTGTGTTGTTAAAAGTGAGATTTTACCCTAATTAACGTCTTTGTGCTGCACAATCGCTCTGTCGAAGAGCGCCAATTTCGAATGCGCTCTAACGTTAACGTTACCTCAAACAGTTTGTTAACTTGAGCCACATAAATTACTGTATTAATCTAACGTTACGTGTGTGTGCGCGTTGTATAAGTAATGTTGACTTTGTGTGATAGTTTAATGTTTCAGAGGTGTTTGTAACTTCTTCAAAAACATTGAGTCCACTGCCAACGCTGTCGAAGCTACGACAGACACACGTAGCCACAGCTAACGTTAGCTAAGTTAAGTGATTACTGATTATCGTCGGTTGGAGATGAATGTTAATGTGCAGCAGTTACTTTGGCGAGTACACAATCCACACAATCTAACCAAAACCACATTGATGAGGGAGCAAACATTTGCAACTATGAGTGTGGGCACTGTTAGCTAATGTGGATTAGCACATAGCCTGAAATACACCCACACCGCCCGCGGTTAACACACCTCAACGGTGGTGCTCAAGGTGCAGGCCCATTTCTCCTCATCCAGCGTGCTTTACACGTGTTTGTCTTAACAGGAAAACTTTGTATTTGACTGTGGCACATTCACACATCTCACACCAACACACTTTGCAGTCATTCCAGTTGTTCCACTAATATTTTGGCAAGAGAGGTTACAAGTATTTTAGGCTATCTAACCTAACAATCTAACAATTAGTCAATTGTGGTGGTTAGACATGAGGTTGACGTGATGTTTCAGATTATTTTCTAAAATAAATTCTGTGATGAACTAAAGTTACCCATTCTTGTCTTGTCCAGCAGGATAATGTTCGTTTGTATTTTAAGTGCATTTTTTTATGGATTTTATCAGGCTTGTATTCAAAAGGCTAGATGTAACTAACTTTATTTATTTTTATTGACAGATGGGATGGCCCTGTAAATTGTGCAACACTGTGGTACCAGGAAAGAGTGACATTTTAAAGCATTATAGACTGCATCATGGGACTTTTGGACACAGCCATGCCTTGCCTTGTATTCATATAGATTGCCCATGTTCTTTTAAATCCTGGAGTTCCTTCCGCTCTCACCTCTCAAGATACCACCCAGAAGCTAAATCCTTCATCTCACCACAAGTAAGTCTTTCATTTACCTAACCTTTGTGTCAAAACCCTGGATTTAACAACGAAAAGGATTTTTTTGAGCATATAGGTCACCATCTCAAGAATAACGAGACTGTTAAGTGTGTCTTCATAGAATGTGATCACCAAACAAATGTGTATGGGACGTTTGCAACACACAAACACAGAAAGCATACTCCACATACATCACAAGATTTCAAACCAGGGATTATTTGTGGGTTACCCGAGGAAGCACTTGATTTTGAAGCCTCTGAAGAGGATGAGGTCCACAATGATGCTAATCATGAAGGCAGTAGCACTAATGCACACTATGAAGAGGAAGATGGAAGCAGTGTAGTTGTAGAGTATATAGCATCCCTCTTGTTGAAATTAGAGAGTGTTCATAATGTTTCAGTTCGGTGCATTGATGAATTGGTTGATGATCTTCACTTCATAGCAAATTCTGCATGCATATCTTCAGTTAAAAGTATCATTGTTTCACATTTTAAGAAAAATAACCAAACCATTGATGACACTGTTGTTACATCTTTGGTGGAAGAATTGTGCAATTCCAATCCCCTAAGCTCAGCACTTAGTAGTGCTGGTCCTCTATCCTCATCGTTCAAGAGACGGAAGTATTATACAGAAAAATTTGAAGTTGTTGAGCCTGTTGAGTATGTCCTTGAACCAAATGAGAAGAGAAGTTTCCAGTATATTCCAATTCTTAAGTCTTTGATTCATATTTTGGGTAAAGAAGATCTTCGAGGAAAAAGTTCTGAGTAAAGAAAAGGACAAGCCATCTACTAAATATGAATCATATCAAGACGGTACAATCTATAAAGATAATTCTTTTTATTCTGAAGAACTAAGAATTACACTTGTACTGTACATTGACTTCGAAATTTGCAATCCACTGGGAACTTCAAGAAAGAAGCACAAGATTACAGCTGTATACTGGGTGTTTGGCAACATTCCACACTCATCTCGGTCAACTCAGCTCTGTGTACTTGGCCCTTTTATGTAAAGCAGTGGACATCAAAAGATTTGGTTATGAGGAAGTGCTTGCCCCTTTGTTAAAAGACATTGCTATCTTGGAGCGTGACGGCATCTACATTTCCTCGGTAGGACAAAATGTGAAAGGAAGTCTGTTTTGCGTTGCAGCAGACAATCTTGGGGCACATTCAATTTGTGGATTAGTGGAAAACTTTTCTGGTCCGTTCATTTGCAGATTTTGTCTTGGACAGCGATCAGAATATCAGATAAAGGAGGTGAGGTCTGGTGCATTTCCGGCTCGCACCCAAGAAGCACATGCAACTCATGTATTGACTGTCAAAAAAAACCCTGCCTTGACACATTGTTTCGGTGTTAAAAAGGCTTGTCCATTGACTGAAAATCTGAGCTATTTCCACTGTGTCACTGGCTATCCACCTGACATATTACATGACGTTTTTGAAGGGATTGTTCCCTTAGAACTGGGTCTGTGCTTCAGTGTTTTTATTTCTAAGAAATATTTCACATTTAGTGAACTTAACAGTGCTATTTCACAGTTTCCATATAAGTGGTCTGACAAAACTAACTCTCCTCAGCCAGTGCCTGCTACCTTCTCCTCAAGAAACAAGATTGGAGGAAACGCGCATGAAAATTGGTCCCTCATACGACTGTTGCCATTCATTATTGGACACAAAATACCTTTGAGTGATCCAGCCCGGCTTCTGTTGATGTCTTTAAAAGACATTGTTGAGCTTGTTGTGGGTCCAGTCCATAATGAGGAAAGCATTGCATATCTTGACTCAAAAACACCGACACAGATTCCAGGAAGTGTTCCCTAATGAAGAATTAATCCCGAAGCACCACTTTTTAGAGCACTATCCTGCTTTGATAAAAGCTTTTGGACCAGTTATAGCTTTCTGGACGATGCGGTTCGAAGCAAAACACAGCCAGTTTAAACGGATTGTAAGGCATACTGGCAACTTCAAGAACATTCTCCTGTCCCTGGCTACAAAGCACCAGCTTATGATAAGCCACAACAGTTTTGCCTGCTCTTAGTGTTGTAAGAGTAACAGTGGATGTCCTACATGTAAATGTTCAGGAGTCAATCAGGCATATATCTCATGTTCAGCTGGCTGACACAGTCACCTATCAGGGATCGAGGTACTCAAAAGGCATGATTGTGGCCTTTGGTTCTACTGCAGGTCTTCCTGATTTTGCAGTGATTCTTCAAATTGCACTTATCGAGGAAAGAGTGTATTTTATTGTGAGAACACAGATATCCTGGTTTGATGAACATTATCGCGGATATTATCTGGACAAGACAGACCACATAACTCGTTGAGCAACGATGCCTTACTGATGTATATCCTCTGTCTGCCTATATTGTTGCAGGAAAGCAAATGGTGATATTGAAGCGCCACATCTGTCTCCAACATAACTCTTCTTAGAAATGGAGCAAACTGTGAGATTCCGGGTCCTCATCGATCATGAAATCAAGAAACTCACTCTCAGCAGTGGCATGCCCTCAACTGTAAATGAGTTGGTTGCAGCTGTCAAAGAACATTTTTCCATCCCCACAGATATAAGTCTTCAATACAAAGATGAGGAATTTGATGACTTCTTCACCCTAACATCTACCAATGAGCTGAAAGATAAGTGCACACTTAAAGTTGTGTATACACCGCTGGAGTTGACGCTGACAGTTGTTCCCCAGGAAAGCACCCCAGATGCCTCTGATGTCAGCGTTCTCTGTGAGTGTACGAGTCTCAGTGGGAACTCAGTGGATACCGTCATTCCGAGTCCATCCCCCTCTGAAAGGCAGAGCCCATGGCTTGCTGTGTTTCCAATTCCAACCTTCTCACACAACACTGAACTGGCCTTAAGACAAGGAAATGAGATTTATTTAAGAGATGGCACCCCTATGACATCACCAAGTATCAAATCAGACATCCTGGAGCGCCTGGCAGAGGCCATGTTTTTCTACACAGCTTACCCCAATGATGCCCAGAGATGTGCAGTGGCAGAGGCACTAGTTGCAAAGCATCCCTGCTTAAAGGAGCCCGGATCTTTTAATGGAATTTATGGGTGGCAGGTAAGCCTAAAGTATAAGTGTGGAAACTACCGGACAAAACGGAAAGCACTTGGAAGCACTGAACTCCTGATAAACTCACTGAGAAACAAGTCAAGTGATGAGCGAAAAGCTGCTAAAAATGTCAAGAAACCAAAGAGGGCAGAGGTGAATTACTTGCCCTCACACCCACATGGTGAAACAGATGACACCCTTGAGAATCTGAGACTTGACCTAATTGCTGCCCATCAGACAAAGGACTCTGTCAGGAGCACAAATGATATGATGGCCAGAACATACAGCTGGAGAAGACAGGAAGTTATTACCAAGTCTCCTGGTGTGGCAGAATTCAAGGACCATTCCAGGTAAGTGACTTATCATTCAGATTTTGCTGACACTACTCACTTCTGAGAACTTTTTAGAAATTGTGACTTGGACATGAGATAGTAGATTAATCTTTAAAACCCCTTAAATAAGTCAAACATTTGCTGTCTTACAGGTAAACGAGGAGTTCCGAAGATGTACTGCAGTTTCCCTGGAAGCGATGTTTATGTCACAGCTGGACAAATACACCCCAAAGCTCCTAGAACTCTTTAGTGCCAAGGGAGGAGCAACTGGTCAACGCATCAAAAAGTTGTTGATGGATCTGATACAGGTAGGGAAAAATTGGTTACAAAGTTAAGGTACGATATTAATCAATTGAGTGGTTTTGTTTTTCAGTTTTTTCAGCATCTTGCTTATCTGGGTGGTTTTTGTTTTGTTGTTTTTTTGTTAATTAGCCAGTTTTTTTCTAAATTGTCTCGTGTTATTACTATTAATATATTATAATGAATAAAAAAGAAAAAATAATACAGACCTACAGTAATTACAGGGTTGGAGTGAATTTACCAACAAAAATAATTTATTCATTCAAGTACAGTTTCATGTTGTGTTGAGCCTTCTTAGTGTTTTAAAAATAGTGATTTTTATGCCATCATTGTAGTGCCCCTAGCACTCCCATTTGAAGGCATTTCGACTTCATATGAAAAAAGTCTATCTTGAGAGTGGCATTTCCATTCTAATTATGCTTTTACAAGAAAGAATGACTCTGGTAGATTAACAAAAATAGCCTAGGTTAAATTTTGGCAAGCGTTTCCCTTTAATGTGAACTGAATGAACCAGTATTTGGCAGGTAGTGGATTATTTATGCATTTATTTATTTTTCTTAATAAATGAGATTGTTTGTCTTAAATACTTTATCTTTTATCTCAAAAGGGGGCCGCAGAGACCATTGTTCATGAGGACCTGAAAATTAAGAACATGAGCATCTATGTCTGCCGTGAGCCAGATGCAGTAGGAATCATCATTGAGGGAATACCAGTCCTTACCAATCTTGGAAACGTGGCCAAAGCATGCTGCTTCCTGCTTGGGTTGACATATGCACTTAATCTCGAGTATCCATCCAAGCTTTCCAAAACATTTGAGGTGTTTCAAAGACTTTTCGTGGGACTTGACACACTGCGCCCAAAACCAAGCCCCAAGTTCATGACCCTGAAAAACAAACTCCTTGCCTAGGCACTCAGACATGACTGTCACTGCACTTGTGAACAGCTGTTTTCTTTGTCTGTTCAACATCATTATACATTGGACATAATGGGTGTTATGTCCAATGTTATATTGGACATAATTGGACATTCAGGGTGTTGTAATGGTTTATCCTTGTCATGTTTTATACTGTACACAGGTCATACTTCCTGGTGTGAACAAGTAATTATATTTTATACACACAAAATAGACCTGCTGTGAAGCTGCACTTTAAAAACTGGTCAGTAGGTGAGATCAGTGAGATGTTTGACTAAAGATGTTTCAAAATATTCACACACGCTGTGAAGGTATTATGCCAAGTTGAGGTCAGATGGTCATGCTTGTGACCTGTAATGTTAGTGTTAAAATGTTTCAATATTATGTTCACACTGTACTGTTAAAAGGATAGTTCACTTCAAAATGAAAATTCTGTCCTCATCTACTCACCCTCAAGTTGTTTTAAACCTGTATGAATTTCTTTCCTCTACAGGACACAAGGAAGATGTTTGAAGAATGTCAGTAACCGAACAGTTAACTGGACCCATTGACTTCCATATTAGAAAAAAATAAAAAGACTATGGAAGAACATTCTTCAAAATATCTTCCTTGTGTTCAGCAGAAGAAAGAAATTCATACAGGTTTAAAACAACTTGAGGGTGAGTAAATGACAGAATTTTCATTTTGAAGTGAACTATCCTTTTAAGGTGTTTTACTAACCTACTATTTACAAGCTGAGGTCATATTTTGTTTAATATATGAATACAGAAGTTCTTGATTGTTTATACTGTCCAGCTCATTCCCACTATTTGGATATGGCATGTGAATTGTTAAAAAAATAGCAAGTGCCAGTTAACTTGATATTAAAATGTTTTAATATTATGTATGTACACACAGTAAAATATACTTTGAAGGTGTTCTTCTAACCTGCACTTTATAAGTTGAGGTCATGCTTTTTTTTAATGCATGAATAGATGTTATTGATTGTTAACACTATCCAGCTCATTTTGAATTTGGTTTGTAAATTGTTACTTAATTTTAAAATTTTGTAACATTATGTACACAGAACTACTGTGAAGGTGTTCCACTAACCTGCACTTTATTTGCTGAGGGCATGTTTTCTTGAATGCCTGAATACCAATGTTTATACTGTCCAGCTCATTGCTACTGTTTTGGATATGGCAATGATTTAATAAATGTTGGAAATTGACATAGTAGCAACTATTTATTTGAAGCTATTTACACTTTCAAAACAAAGAGGATAAATTGATCAAAATTAATAAATCAGAACATTATCTACTTATTTTTTTCATTTAAGTTACCTATTTTAATTAAGTTTAATGTGTATAAAATTATGATATTTTCTACATTGATAGTACTCAATTTATTGGCTTTTTCTGAAAATGCTACTTAATATTTTTGCGTACATTGAAATTCACATTATTAAGTTGTCTTTACTCAAAATATCAGTTAGTTCACTAAACTTGAAAAAAATAGTTGGAAAATGTTGTCTTAATTTTATTGAGTTAGATCCAAGTAACAGTTTTAACAGTGTAGGGATCCTTTCTATAATGTTGTCAGACACCTCGTATAACAGTCTGAGCCTGTCAGTGGCAAAAAGAAGCACCTTTTGTGGATGTAATTTTGACAGGAGCAACTGCCCCAAAGGAATATGCTGCAGCCACTACAGATGGGTTTGTGGCTGCTGGCTGAAGCCATCTACTGCACAGATTCCAAAACGTCTTCTACTTACTTGTCATTTCAACCCCAAAATAAGATTTAAAAATCTTCTTTCAAATCTTTTCAAACATAGATGCTTTGATAGGTGCTTCTCACCTGTCAACTAAACAAAAAACACAACTTTTAATTTACTTTGGATTTTTCTTGCTTCTGTTTTCTCCCTGTCCTGCTGTGAAAGTGACGGTTAAGCACTATCAGCAGTGCGTTCAGCTCAGTTTTCTGTGATATGGCAGCAGTTTCTGATATAGCATAGTGAGTATGGCAACAGTTTAAAGAAAAAAACAAAAACAAAGGTTTCAAAAGTGCATATACATTTCCAAGAGTACCTATCTTGTCTTGGTTGTTGTTGTAAGTATCAGTTATAATGATATTGCTGTAAGTGTTTCTTATAATTAAGCTACTCTTGTTCTGGGTAAAACTTTACTGAACACCATCTGCTTTCCCAATCCCGTCACATGGGACCTCACAGTTATTCACACAAAGTGAACAGTTATATGATGTTAGTATAGTTAAGCAGCACAGTGTATTGAGCAGTTTGCAGTTCTGGAATAAAGTCAAATAGTCATTACTTAGCATAAGCAGGCAATTATGTATCTGCTCACTCTATTTAGGGAATGGTATAACGTTTTAAACAGTTCAGTTGTAGACTTTGTGTATTGCTATAAATCAGGACAAGAAGATGTCAATAAAGACCAAAATTAAATCAACATTAAAGCACAGACAAAGCGTGCCATCATTCACCCTAACATTTCTGACTGAACAATTAATTGAAATTTTATCAAAATTGCTATATGGTCTACTGCAATTTTCAAATTGCATGAGGTATAATATTTGTAAAGGTGGAAAGTGTGTCTACACATCATTTTCTACAGACTTAAGAAAACATCTCTTTGGTACCAATCCTCTCACAAATCATACCATAATCATTTTTATATGTTTTTCTATGAAAAGTGGGATAACAGTGATCATTATTATTCCTTCTAATATCGCAAATCATGTAGGAATTGCAATATTATCACAATTAGATTTTTTTTTTTTTTATCATTCAGCCCTATTTCTTACAACAATGTAACAATTCCATTAATGTTTCTGACTTCATCCCTCTAAGGTTTAATGTGGCATGATCTAGTCTGCAGAACAATTACTTGAACTTGAACTCTAAGAATTGTTCATAAAATCCCAGTTCATACCTGGGTCTGAGAAAATACCTGGAGCTAACAAACAACACTGCACTACCATGTCCATGTGAACAACATCAGTTTCATGCTGAACCAAGAAAAATGCAGCAATTATACAAATCTTAATATCTGTTAATATTACTGGCCTGCCAAACAAAGCAGCCT